TTCCTAACGTTTGTGCTACCAATCTAAGAAATGGGACACACCCCTAAGTCTTTCAAGAGTCAAAAATCACTGCTTCTCCATTTGTTGCAGTCTACGACAACAGCAGAAAAATCACGCTTCTCAGCTACCCAGACTGGTGTCTTTATTTGCAGATTGCTCAATGAACCTAAATTTTTAATAGATTATTCAGTTTCCAGGATAGTCCTGGAAAGTAGAGGAAAACCCATCAGGACACTCTAGAGGGGAGCTGCAATGAAGTCTCTACAAAAGGCCAGCAATTCTAGCGCAGCTGCTGTAGGTCAACAGGACACAAGAGATTTTGAAGCACCAGCTTTACTTAGCTCCATCAATCACCACCTCAGTCATCCTCAACCACAAATACAGCTTAAGAATTTTTGGTTACATCACCCAGTCTGTTTTCCAGTTTGAAAAGGGTTCCAGCCATACACAGATGGCCAACTTGCAAGAAAAATCAAAATTAATTAAAAAAAAAAAAAAAAAAAATCACACCACCTTCTCAAACCTCCTGTTCCAATCTCTTCGCAGATCTGCCTTTCCTCTCTCCAACTTCATATTTTTCTTTGTTTTCTGTCCACTAAATATCTGAAATGGTAGTTAGGACACATTCTGGCTGGCTGACATCTTTATAAATGCTCTAAGACTGTTGTTAGATGATGACCACCAAGTAAGCTTGAGCAGACTGGTTAGGGGGGAAAAAAATAGTTAGTTGAACATTTTTCATAGCCAAGAAAATAATGCTAGGGCCACTAGCTAGTACCTGGTTTACATGCTTTGCTGCTACTGCCCCAAGAAGCAGAGATGCAGAAAATTTACCTTTCGCATCTTCTGTGATCTTTCTCCCTTCCCTACTTTTTATACATTAGTTGGGTTAGTTTCCTGCAAATATTTTACTATCACATGTAGGACTTGCATTAAAAAAAACAAACACACACGACAATTTATATTCAAATGGAAACTAGAAGAGAAACATAAGAAAAAGATTCCCAAAATAAATACATGAATTGTTTAGATAGAACATGTGCTTGGTTTCCATTTGTTTCAACATTGTTTGTGCTTGTTTAACACATCTTCAAATCTGGTTAGTACCCAGGCATAGTAACACAAATATGGAAATTAAACAAGAAAAAAAAAAGGCATCTAGAAATTGTAAGTCTGAAAATTTTCAGATTTCATGTTGTAGGTGATTAAAAAAAAATGCAAAGCTAATTAGATGTTTCTTAATGCCAGAAGTCAGCAATCTTTCAAGGGTGCCATGCCAGTTGGGAATGCAGCCGTGCTAACCGACACTGGCTCTCACAGAAGGCAAGTGCGAAGGCAGGAGACGCTGCCTCCCACAGAAACGTGCCTCCAGAAGACATGGTTCCAGCTCCCAACCCTGCTGCATGCCAAGGTTTGTGTGCTCACTGCCTTTTGTGCAAACATGGTGGGTTGCCAACTCCTGCCTTGCACCTCATGGTATGTAAGACTAGGGCAAGGGGGTGACTCTTCAAGGAATTAAATCAAAATGTACCCTTTTCCCTTCATACACCTCACCAATCATTCTTAAATATTTCTTAAAAGGCAATTTTCATAGATGTTAAATCCAAATCCATATAATTCACAAAGATTAAAGAATAGTTCATTGACACACAGATGGGAAATTCCCGGACGCCTTTCTTCTAATATAAAGCAAATAGATGAAATAGAAACTTACACTAATATAATTCCTGCTAAATCACTTCTGCTTTTAATAATTGAAAGTTTCGGTTTTCTATACAAATATCAACAAACCCAAAAGAGTTTAGTAACACAGTACAATATAATGCAGAGTTATCATTAACTCTATACAAGCCACTTTTGCAACCTGAAAGTATTCAATTCACATTTATATTCCATTTATATTTAATTCGACTTACATTTTTTATCAGAGATAACATGGTACTGTTTCCAAGACTGAAGGGTGTTCTGAAAAGCTTGTTCGCAATTAAATGGACTGGACTAGACTCTCCCTCCGATATTTTCAAACAGATTTCTTGGGTCAATACGCCAGCTTCTCTACCAGACTTTCAGCCCCACTCCCATATACCCATGTTTAATGTTACAGATTACCCATACACATAGTGTATTTGTCAGCATGAAAAAAATGTGTCAGCAGAATAATTTTATCTGCTAAACTTCTTTGCCAAGGGCTGCCACATCCTGGACTGCTTCTCATGATCTTAAAACAGCAGAACAGCACAGCCTCAGAGTCCTCACTGAAACATCACAAACATCTCACCACTTACATACACAGTCAACAAGACTTAAGACCAATAAACAAAATTATGTGTGAGCCAGTGCTAGTACAACACATATCCACTAATGCAGAAGGAAGCATAGAATTAACTATATAGCCAACCATCCAGATGTTTTTTTGTGGGATGCCGAGTGCCCAAACACTGCACTGCACCTCTACTGACCTGCTGCAGGCCACAGAAGGTTTGCAGGACTGCCTGTCCTTCAGCTTCACACCCCATCCCCAAACAACCCCACCACTTCCCTGCCTTCTCTGATTTGATGGAAATAGGCAGCTACAGAGAAAAGCTATATATCTGTTCTTTTGTTTTACCTCTAGCCTTCAAAGAATCCTATCCCCTCCGATTAAGAAACTGAGAAGCATCTTACAATAAGGCCAGCTAAGGGAATTTCAAAGTCTGCTACAGAATTTAGCAGGTGAAATTCCCACATTTTTGCTTTTTTTGGATGTCACTCTCTCTTTGCAATGGTTCATTAGTTTTAAATAATAAAATATTCACTGCTAATATGTTTGAATCAAAACATCCTGTGCCTGAATGCTGTCATACCTCCATACAGGTGTGCGAATGAAATTATTTCCTACATAGAAGAAATGGCAACACTGTCATAAAGTTTCAAATCAGATTTATCTCCAGTTGACGGCTGCATAGATTTCAGGGGGAAAAAACTACTTTTGCTGAACTATAAGCTAGCATGGATATTTTAACAAAAAAAAAAAAACAACCTTATTTCTGTAAGAAGTTGCAGGGACTGAAAAACATCACGTGTATTGGAAACTTCTGTTGTTAAGGACTAAGCAGAACAGCAATCATTACTATCACATTTGTGGAGCTACCATTCACTGACACCTCTATTAAAGGAAGAAAATGTATATGGGAGGAGTGAAATCTTAAGTAATGGTTTGTATATCCCACATTCTGGGCCTTCCAAAGGGTATCGCACAATCAAAAATACCTTGATACAGGCTAGTATTTTAATTACAGTGCAAGCATTTATTCTGCTAGGAAAAAAAAAAGCAGAAAGATAAGAGTAATTCTTTGCAAATTTGCAATTACATTTCTCCTCACTGCCTAAATCCAGTACTGATGCAGACCACCTAGTTCAGCCACAACGATTACACTGGCATCCAAGAATTTCTTTGTGTTTTATCTACTTTATTAAACATCAAACAGGCCAAGAAATTAACCCTGTCACATTTCTATAGTTACTGATTGTTGCAAAGATAACACAAACTGACCTTTCAGTCTGCTTTGACAGCAGTTTCTTGCCATCAGGCTCAACACCTTACTCATTCCTGGGGGTAGATAAGCTGACACAGGAACTTTAGAGAACTTTAGAGTGGTAAAAGACTTCCTACTCATCTTCTATATGTTTCCAAGCCTCTCAAAACTAACAAGAGTTTCATGCATTCCAACTCCTCACTGTAATGTGGAGGCAACTAAAATTTCTTCCAGCTTCAAAAAGATTACTGGTCCTCTTAGTTCTCACCAAGTAAGAACAGTGTCTCTTCAGTGAGCGGTAATGTTTGCAAATGCAGATGGGATGTACAAATCAATTGCTGATTTTTCTGAAAAGCTTGTTGGCAATTATTTTCTGATTTTTCTGCCTGATAGTCAAAAATCCCAATACAAACCCTAAATGCACTAAGAAATCGTCTACCTTAAAATCACCCATATCAAAATAAAATTATCAGCTGTATTTCACTGCCTGAGATATACCATATTTGCAATAAATGTAAATATTTCAAAAGCAGTTTCAGCTTTAGCAAATTTTCTAATATTATTAAAAATACAAACACCAACATTGCAAAAGTTTATCATAGTCAGAAACAAAGTCTTCCTCCAGATTTATCCCATCCTATTCCTTTAGTTTGACTGGGGTTTTGAGGACAAACGGAGACACTGCTGACCGGGAATCTACTGAAATATCCTACCCTTTTGAAAAAGTGAACAGGTTCATATAAAAGGTCCTTATGTTCCAAAGCCAGGTTAAATAGACAAATATGTGCAAGAAGTATCCCTTTTTAGTCTCCTCTCTTCCAGATTTCTTTATAAAGCGTCTGGGAAGTAATGCAGCATTTCTTTCCTGCTCTCTAGTTCCTATGCGCCACTGATACAGTTCGAACACGAGAGGTTTTTGATTACCGCTTCAACTAATTAAGGAGAGGGAACAACCTCTTCACCAGATCTAGAAGACAAGTAATACAGGGCTTACACTGTAATAAGGAAGATTGCAGCCAGTCACATCTAACGGTCAGGATTGCAAAGCACTGGAACAAACAGTGGGATTTCCTGCACCAGGTACTAGAAGCAGCTTAAACTCATAGCTATTGAAATTAGCACAAGTATAAACAAACAGATGAGCTCTCAAAGTCTGTGACTTTTTTACTACAAGGATTCTAAACACAGCTCTCTAATCTCTTCAGGTATAAATGGAGCAGACAAACTGCCGTACGCTGCATTGATTAACAAAATGCCAAGCGAAGAGAAATTAGAAGTACAAGATCCATCTCTTGTTGCCAGAAGGATTCCAAAAGAGGAACCATTATACAGATAAGTCTTCCCCTATGCAGAAGGAAAGTAAAGGACAGAAGTCAGGTTTCAAGCTCAAGTCTTTAAAACACAACACAGCCTGTATTAAGAATTCAAACAAAAATCGCAGGACAGCAAACTCGCTATGCAAAGAGGAATTCCTAGGCACCTTACCTCAGTGGACCATAATTCAACATTATGAAAGCCAGTATCACCATCACACACAGGGTCCTCCTCTTTGGAGATGATACTTTGAGCTTCTGGTTCTAGACAGGAAAAAACAGAAAAGACATGCAATAAAAAAGGTGCACAGACATGCAAAGGTATGTCAGGACCTAAATAAGCCAAATTATGCTTGCTTTTTAGATTTACATTTGCCTAATTATGTATGAATACACCCCAGGACTACTTAAAAATAGAACTCTTTTGTTTGTACATTATATTCACCTTCTATCCAGTCTATCTTCTCAGTGAAATCTTCAGAAGCACCATAAACAAGGAATTAAAGTCAACTAGACAATGCAACAGCTGTCCTGACTTAGAGTTGGCAAAAGTACTGCTCGGAGTGAGAGATCGGGCTAGAAACTCCCAAAGATCTTCCAGTAAACATTTCCATGATTCTGTTCAAGTGTCTTCCACCTGAGCAACTGTCTTTATATAAAGTCAGATCTTCACCACAATCTCTTACCTCTAATACCACTTCATCCAGCTGCCTCTTCAGTGTGCTGTTTTCTTTCTTGAGTTTCTCGTTCTCCAGTAAGGCAGCCTCCAGTCTCGCCTCCAGACCCAACATGTATTCTTTCTTTTTCTTCCGTGACTGAAAGGCTGACTCCCGGTTTTTGATCATGCGCTGTTGCCTTCTCAAGACATTGACCTGGACAGACAATACGGAGGCCTGTAATGATCCACAAGTTAAAAGTGCCTTTATTTCATGCATCATTTCTGCCCCTCTACTTTGTCAAAAGTCTGCATAGATAGCTTCTCGCACCCTGCTTCAAATGAGCTGAAATGTTCAGCACAGTGGCAACTAGGAATCACGGTACAACTCCAGGAGTTATACCTCATGGAAAATGAAAAAACAGGTCCTGCGCTGTATCTGTTTTCTCCTGCATCCTCAACCTTCTACCTGGGGTAGGGGACACAAAATGTATACTCAAGCAGCAGTTTGATTTGATCAATCAAATCACAAAGACAGAAAATACAGACCTACAGGTCTGCAAGGTAGCAAGAATGTCTTTCGACTTCACTTTACCATACACCATTTTATAGGCTACAATCAGTCATCTGTTTTCTTAACTGGAAAGTCCTATGGTTTTTTAGTCTGTCCTGTATGGAAGCCATTTCCACACTGATTACACCTGTTTCTGTACCTTTTCCAGCTCTGCTATATAGTTTTTGAGATTTTGAATACTGTTGCTGACCTCAGACTGCACATTCTGTGTGTATCAAGCACTTACATGGCAGTTTAAATGCAGTCTCTGGGTGCATCTATACTAGCATTTTAATTGAGATCAGCAGTGTGGCTTTGATGCACATTTCCTGATTGTCCCACTTAATATGCTTTGGTTCACATCACAGAACAGTCTCCGATAGAACACACAAACTGGATTCCTTCTGGATGAAGTTAAACCAGCAAATATACTCCAGGAGGGCACATAATTGACTCCAACCACTAGCAGGCATTCAATCTGCAAGACTAGACTGGGACAGTTCAAAGTAACCCCTCCCCATCCTCCAACAGTCTTGATGACTCTGATTTTTTTCCCAAGCAGGAACAGTCTATCATCTTTTACCACTTACTCATTCTGTGGTTTGCACTGAGCGGGACGACCTAGACTGAAAGCATCTTGCTGCTGACAAGGATAACGATGATCGATACTGCAGAGCTATTCAAAACTACTTGAAATCCCAAGTTTAAACACTACTCTGTTGATTTCCTTTCCCTCACAAATTAGCAACAGCAACTCTGTTTTTATTAAAAACAGAAGACTTCCATCACATTATTAAGCTACAGCAGGATGTGCCTTAATGATGTTTACGTTGAAAGAGAACTGAATGCTGTATCTTACACAGATCTGAATATCCTCTGGTAGCTACCAACACATGCACTGGAGTAACCTGTATCTATTTGAGCACAAAAGCTAAAGAAAAAAGATGAGAACTATTCCAGAAGTATCAGTCTAGGAAAAAATAAACAAGTCACAGAACAGTAAGATTAATGAACTCAGGTAGTGTGCTCCAGTTAAGGTCTGGCTGCTTAAAGAACCTTAACCATAGCTTTCCGATTCTTTCACCCGCAAACAGACAATATGTTGCTCTAGGGCTTTGGCGTCTGCAAGAAAAATTGGCTACAGGCTGTTTTGAAGAAGTCATTCTTCTTCATGATACTGCAGTCTGGTGACAAAGACTAAGAAAACACGTTACAGTGCATTAACATTTTGCGCTGTCTCCATGTTGATCTAACTGCTTTCTGTAAAGATCATTTATTATATGTCTAGTCTGCTGCCACCAACAAAAGTCTGTGAAAGTGAAGCTGTTTGTACTTACTCCAGTTTCTCTCTTTAGCAGCGAGTGGGGAAGGAAAAAATTTTAACATATTTTCATTAACACTAAGCTTTGTCTTGAATTTTTTAAGTATTACAATACCTAACGTAAGAAAACTTCTGCAGACATATAAAAACTTTGGAAAAAAAAAAGATTCAGGCTAGCCAAGGACTGCAGTGTATAGAACACACCAATCTGGAGCCAGGATCACTTCAACTGTCCAGAGATGAAATAGTAAGGAATGAGTTCATGCAGCAGCTTTGGCTTGAGTTGTGAAATATTCCAAGCAAGTAGTTACATTCCTCTTTTTAAAAAGAGATTTTGCATCATGAAGTCAAACAGAGAAGATCAAATTGTTTACATCCATTCTTGTTTGCAGACCTGCTCAGTATTATTCACTACTGGATAGCTTTTGACTAAGTGTCTGGAACCTTTGGCAAATTTACCTGCTTCCCTGGAGAAAACATGGAGTTAAAGCACCAGTGCAGTGTTCATACACTAACAGTACATCCTAAGGTACATCTATTGCTGTTTCAGACAGTACCAGCTATGTTTCATGATGACGGTATTTATCTAGACTGCCCTCCTTTACTCAGTGTTCTCCAAACGCTGTCAGAAACAGCAGCTCTCCGCAGTCCGATTCAAGGTACTCTGTGCAATAACTGCATTTCGGGCTATGCCACACCAGTTTCCCTTCGACTCATTTCTTAAGATTGCTTAAATGAAACCCAACTATTTGTGTTCTTGAGTTATTTTGTTTCAACTGACAATTCCTAAAACAGTTTAAAGGTCCTTGGTCAACCCTCTAGCATTTGCCTGGCTTTTCTTGGGGAATAAGCCACAACTGCACACCTGATCCTACCTAAATATAATGCAGGAAATGGAAAGAGTTGTGTGTGTAAAATAGTGCAACAATGCTTAAACCTCGAAGCAGTATGGCATTAAGCATTACATAGCTGGCTTGGCGTCAAGATAAACATGCCCCTTGCTTGAGCATTTTGATAATCAGAAGAGCGAGAGGAACTAATTTATAATGTCAGACTGCTTGAGCAACATTGCTTTGCACAAGTGCTGAACAAAGATTAAACGTAGCAAACACCTCTACTAACTTCTTTTGCAGCTGCCCTCTTTGTAGGTTGTATTGTATTAATTTACTACTCAAGATAATAACTCCTGGTTCTCAGGAAACACAGACCATAAAGGGAAAATATTGGCCTTAAAATCAAACATTAATCATTGATGCAACTTTTGCTTCCTAGCTTTAAAAACTACATCAACACTCACACACACACACACAAAAAAGATGTAAATATGAAGTGAAAGGTTCATTGCAAAACCTTGCTTCAAACAGTAACTAGATTCAGATCGTCCTCTATCTTCAAAGTCTTTACAGAGTGTCACGCGTTTTACAAATAAACACTGCTACCTCAACTAAGTCTTCCAAAGAAAACTCAGTTCTGAGCAAAATTTAACCTCCATTCCAATGCAAGCTCTATTTCTAGCACAAGGCGGTAAGAATGTCTCTCACACTCCACAGTTTTTGGTACACACACTGGGAAAGTTAACGAAGAGCTGAAAGTACAAACCACTTCAACTTTACATTGGCTGGCTTCTTACCTCAGCTTATGAAAGCTACTGTCTTCGAAGACGCATCTTAAATGCGGGAATACAAAACCTATGCAAGTGTTTTCTCTGTTCTTATGAAAGATCTGGGTTTTCTTGTCTCTAACTCAACAGAGCACAACTTGAGTACTGAATTTATTTCATATGAAAATTACCCAATGTACAGCACAGAAAACAGGATTCTTTAATAGAAATCCACACTTATGTTGCAGTAATTTTGTGTAATCTAATTTTTTCTAAATTTTCAACATTTTTTTTATCAACAGAACTGGGAGGGAAAATTAAATACTTTCTCACTACAGAGTGGAAACATGAGAGAAAGGCCCTATAAGGACACAACTAAACTGGACTCCCTCACACACCTACCATTTTTGTCCTCATATCATTTAATTGCAACAGGAAGGCAATCTGCTCTTTTAGTTAAGAGCCTCTCTCCTTCAGCTGGAAGAGTGGCTTGCTTAGGTAGCATTTCCTTTGTCCAATTTCCTAGTGGAAAGTTCTTCACTGGTTTCCTAGTGAAGAGTGGCCTCACTGAAAGCCTGGCACTTCCCTGCGAGTGGCAAGCTGCATAAATCCTGTGCCATCAGGACAAGCACAACGTAGGGCCTCATGCGTACAGCTCGCTATCAGCGATCTCAGTCTAATCCATTGGAAGGGCTGAGTGTTAAGCTAACAGTTTATCCCTCCTAAGCCCAAAAGAAAGTGTTTCTTTTTATCGTGCAACATCTGCTTAGATTAGCAAACAAAAACACGTGTTACAGAGCTCAAATGACAGCTACATCTGTGCAGCTCTGGGCGCCACATATGGCGTCTATGGCAGTCACAAGACGTTTTAACCCTGCTGGCGCCAGCTGCATCCTGAAACATTTGTTCTTTTTCAAAGTGTGATTTCACAGTATGTGCCAAAGAGCAGTTACAACTGTTTTTTCATGTTTCAACAAACACAGGTAAGATGTGCAGCATTTAGATTGATACCAAGTCTTAAAACTGCCTCCCTAAAACAGTTTCAGGTGGAAATACCCACACAACCATCGTTCAAAGCAAACAGCTATTCATTACCCCAGCTACACATTTGACTACTGACTGTCACAGATATGTATATGATGTGTGATGACAATAGGGGGGTTTTGTCAATTAAACCTTATATTCAGACGATGGCAAGGTGCCATGCTAGTCCTGATTACAGGGAGTCACAAATCTAATGACTGCTGACAAGTCTCTTCAGTTTGGTTTTGCACGGCAGGCAATTATCATTTAAAAATGCAGCGCTCTTAACTGATCTGTCTACTGATAGACCTTTGTTAGCTTCTTGAACCTAATTCAAGATTAGGTTTCCATTGCAGTCTGGCTGCTGAATTATTTGTAGCAAATAATTTTTCATTTAAAAATGCAGCCCACACACAAACACGAATAGTGAGGAAAATTTAACATCAAGCATGAGCGGCAATTCTCAGACACTAGGAAACCGCACAACAACATCCCTCCAAAGAAGCCAGAAGGCACATGTCTTTGAGAAACAGTGTCCCGCACTGCTAATAAGCAGGTGACTATACTGCAAAATTTCCTGTGAATGGACACCAGTGTTTTCTCCCTCACACGGAGAGATGCGATAGGACTCTCAGCTCACAACAACTGCACTTGGAATACCACACTGGAGAATGACACCCTGAGAGTTTAAAAGCCACAGACAAGAGTCTTCGGTACTTTCCACAACCATGCCTTCCTTTGGACAACAAAATGCAACCAAAGCAGCTCGAAACTACTAGGAACTAAATCAAGTTAACACCCAGCTTGCTAGCTAGTTAAGATGTCAAAGTTGAAGGGGGAAAAAACACCACACATCTCAAAAGCTACTTCTGTTTACACGTACTGCTTACTGTGAGCTACTGTGGAAAAACTTAATTTGCACAGAGACTGTTGAGAGCTTACCCCTTTTCTACTCATTCAGTATATGATCAAAGGGGAGCCTGAAGAGATTTGGATCATATGAAACTCAATACCTGAAGTTTCTAAAAATCATGAGTAAAATCTGGGGAGATAAAAAGGATGGAAAAAGAATCAGGCCTACTGCTGACATTTCCAATTCACCTACTTCCAAAGGAGTGTTTTTATTATACTGATTAGAAGAATGGTTTAGTGCTAATCAAAAATCAGATATATCAAATCTTCCTGTATGTAAGAGAGCTCCAGCCATTGAGAGCTTATAGTTGAGTAGACAAGTGAAGGAAAAAATATCTCAGCACTGTCCTCTGCCACAATGCTTGCATATTTGGTCTGCAACTCCAGGCAGGCCAGCAGATATCAAGCTGTTCCTCCCCATTCTTTGCCAAGCTGCTGAATTCCCTGTTTATTGTTAGAAATCCTGTTAGACGAGCCCAACTCCAGCTCTGTCTTCCCGAGACTCTAAAGTGACCTGGTTCTCCCATTATATCTCAACATGCAGGTAATGAGAACTGTTTCCAAGCTTTGGTTATTAGCCATCATCACACAGTCAGAACTTACATCCAGCCCCATTGCTGGTGTGGTGCTTTGAAGCAAGGGCTTAGTCACTGGTATTTTGCCGCTTGTTGAGCCATTTCCAGCAGCTGGAGGCAATGCATTCACCGTATGACCGTGAAGCTGCGTGGTCCCTCCAGTGATAGCAATGACTGGCTGGGAGGCAGGAAGCACCCCAGAAGCCTGGAGCTGCACCACAGTGGGCTGGGGGAGCACCACTGATTGACCTAGAACATAAGAACAAACAGGAGTGCTCAGCATATGATATGAAATGGATTTGTACATGACAAGTTTGTAGGGGAATACTGATATAGGAGGTAGAAAGCCTTGCTTCCTCTCCTGTCCCGCACAATTTATCTCAAGTCCAATTCTTCAGCATTAGTATATTCCACAGGATAGGAATGAAAAAAAAAAAAAAGCTCAAAAGTTTGCAGGGCTCTTAATCCACCCTGCAAACAAAAACTACACATATTAAAGGAATCCACTAAATCAAGCTCTCTCCCAAAACCCAATGGCTCTTCAAAGTTAATAAAAGTCAACACTTGCTGGAAACATTACTCATTTCAGTATTGCTAACACTTGATGCACTTTGAGCAACTTTTTCAAAAGAACTTAGGCAGCTTACCTCAATCCTCCTTCTCCCTTTTGTCCACCCCTACTTTATTGCTGTATTCAGTGGAAAACTTGCTACACAGAAGTGACTCATACTATACAAACCAATTCAGAAACAGCATAGAGAAAGAAGATATATGAGAAAGAACAATGCAAGTGACGCTTTCAAACTGTAAGTTAAAGCCTCAATTCACACTAAGAGAAGACCAATTTTTTTGAAAAATGTCTTAGGTAAGAAATTTTATGCAGAAGCTGAACACAGCTTAAAGAAAAGCGAGCACAAAAAATGAGGTAATTTTGACAGTTTGAAACGGAATTAAAAACAGTCACTTCCAAGAAATTTCAGTCCAACAACTACATTTAGCTCAAGTAGGTGCTTGAGTAATATTTTGTTGTCTGAAAACACATGAACGTCTCTTTAATCCTTTGCAACTGGATGACCTCGACAGCTTTCAGAAACAGCACGTTCCAGCTGAGCATTCCAACCAAAATGCACGACGATGTATTACAGCATTTACCCAAGCTTCTGGAAGGTGAAAAATGAAGTAATTTACCCAGTGCCAAGATCTTTTATGGATGAGGTATAGGACTAGACCTCCTTTTTTGCAGAGATAATCTTGAAGACATCACAAGTTAGTACTACCCTATTTAAGCCCCTCAAATGGTGAATTTGAGATTATTTCAACAATTTTTTTAATGCACAAAGTATATGATGCTCTAAGATCATGCTTTCTTCTTCAAGTTTTTATGAAAGGGACTGTAAAAATATCATTCCTCATGCTCCTTTGAATATAATAGCATATTTCAAACTGGTAGCTCCAACTTGTCATGTGCAGGGGATTTTGATTAATGAAAAAGATCCTTATGGTTTTTGTTATGGAAGCAACACTATAGAATTTTTAAACACACCATCAGTTAAAGTAAATACATGGCATGAAAATACTTTCCCAAAAGTATTTCCTCTATAATGCCTCACAGAAACTACTCTCCTGACTTTTCTTCAGGGAGAAGGAAAAGCTGATCTTCACAGCACTATACTTATATCCAAAAAATCCACATCCCCAACATTCCTTATTCCAGATGGTATTTTATCAGCTGGAACATCAGAAGGAATAAGAATTAGGTCATGCTGACTGTGCTGACCTGTGTTTTAAGCAATCCAACAACCTTAGGCATGTTGTAACAAATGTCAGTGTCTCCAGCTTTGGCTTAACTCCTGATGGAAGGACAATTAGTAATGAAGACAAATTTTTCAGTATTGCAATAATTTCTAGATACATGCCCTTAAGTATTCCTCTCCTTTTCCTTTCACGCCTCAATGCCTGTACGGTCAACCACAAGAGACTGCAGCCATCAGCTGGTGAAAACGAGCCATTGCATCTCACAATTTCAGCAATGCATGCTGCCTTAGCTGAAGATTGGGATTCAGAAATGAAGGTTCAAGCTACTCCAAAAATCTGTTACAGGGCAACAGGAGGAATGAAAAATTATCAGTGGACAGGAAATCACTTGCCTCTTGTTAACATCAGTTTGCAGCTGTAAGCAACTACTTTAACCTCTGGCATGGCGCTCTCAGCAGATTTCACAACATCCTATTTAATGCTGATTAGTGAGATAAAAAGCCATAAACTCATGTTCCCACCATCCTGTGGCAGAGTTTGACATGGGTAAAAAAAGCTTTCAAGTTTCATTCAAGCCATCCTAACTGATTCTGCTGGATCTTCCTTCGGTTACAACAGAACAGCACCGTAATCACCTTATGCACCACTTGCCATCACAAGTAGAGCAAAGGGTCCCTAGAGAACCTTCCAAATCAGCAGTTTTATCTCCACAACTGCCAGTGCTCAGCATAGTCTCTTTTGCTATACTGTCTTCCACTCCACATAATGCCCAGGTGAGTGCTCTTTCCCATAGGACTATATGAGAGAGGAATAAGGCCATCTTCTCAGCCTAAAGCTTTTTCAGCAAAGCATGTAGGACCCCTCTTTTTTTTCCTACCACTCCCGTTTCACCCGCCAAAGCTAACTTCATTCTAGCGACCATCCCAAACAAACATAGTGTTTACCCCCAAGACCTGGCTCAGTCATGACAATTCACCTACCTTTAGGAGGTGCTGGCTGGATGTTAACAACTGGCTGATGCTTTGGCAGTGGCACAAGTGTGGGAAGAGTCTGAATAATGATGGTTTTAGCTGGGATGCCAATGTTAGCCTGAGCCTCAGGTACAGCAGGCAAAAGGGGTTTAGGTTGTATCGAAGGCCTGGATCCTGTCTGACCACACCTCTTCAGGGTCCTCGCAGAATTATTTGCTAGGAAAGGAAAAAGAGCCAGAGTTGGACTAGAAGATATCAAGTAAAGAATTCAAGCAGTAATAACACGGCTTTTGTTTGGTATGGTCGGGTTTTTTAACCCATCTACAATATTTGTTAAAAATAGACATACCCGATCACAAATTCAAGTCAGAAATGACAGGATATACTAGTGTCTGTTAGTTAAACATCCATATGCAAGACAATACGCATCCTATCTGCGGAATCAAAGTAACTCAATCTTTCATACCAGATCGAGAAGTGATGCTGACAGCAGGCTTCTTCCCTCCATCTCCTTCGGGGGATGCAGGGCTTCTGCAACTCTTGCTGTAGAGAGAGATGGGAGACATCTGGGAGCTACAGCTGAAATCCACATCATCCTGCAGACAGCAAGTACATGAGATTAATGCTTCAGAAACACATAAAAGTGTCTACTAGCAGTTCAGAGTATAACAGCTTTTCATCACATCTGTGTTGCTGCTTCAGCAAAAAGGAGAAAGGTTTTATTCTGGACCATGCTAAGTACCACTGAAAACCAAAGAAGTACCTCTCCTTATCAGCAGAGTGAAGGGGGGCAGAAGCCAGCAACTGCGAGACTTTAGAAGGCATTTTGTTTGGCAACCAGGCCAATACACACAACTGAGGAAACGGAACTGAACACACTGTGTTTAGAATGGGTCACAGCAGGAGAGGAAGGAAAACATCACTGAAGGGAAGTTGTTTTTGCAAGGGTTGGAAAAATAAGCTGTTTCCCCTTATGCTGTGAAGTTGGTCAGACAAGTAAATCACTGGGCTTTTTGTTTGTCACAGCTGGTTCTGAATGACTGCTGCTATCTGTGTTACATGGAGGTTTCTGCATACAGGCACATTCTGCACTGGAGAGTCCACAGATGACGGAGAAGGGACCGAACAATTTGAAGTGGCTGGTGATAAGGGTTCTGTCTTCACGCTTGCATCTGCAAGAGGCAGATAAAGAAATTTTACGGTCCAAGTGTTTAACAATGGGCGATCAGTAAAGAACACACTGCCCTACACTAGCTATTTAATTGCTGAAGCAAGGCACAGCAGAAAACATAGCAAGGTTAAAGATACTAAACAGCTTAGCTTGTAGGGCAGCGCTTGCCAGCTATACCCATGACTTCTCATCACAGCGCTAAATGCTGCAGGACATCAAATAGTTTCACGTAAGTTACCGCTATCCTGAAGTTATAACAGCTCACCCTTGTGGGGTGGGAGGGACTAGTCACACCTGCAAAATACAAAAGGTAAATTACCTGCATAAGCATGGCCTGTAATATTCCAAAGATCCGAGTCCCAAGACATCAAATCCAAATCAAAATGAAAGTTATAAAGATCATTTTCCTGAAATGACAGTTTAGAAAAAGAAACAATACAAAAAGACAATATACACTGAAACCACCAGCCATTACGTTCACATCCTTACAGCTCTGGAAGACAAAACAATACTATCACTTCAGTGATCTCACACAGAGATAAAAGCCCTTAAGGGGCAATTCTCAACTGGAATACTCAAGACAAGGCTTCTTTTAAAGCTTAGAGCTGTAGGAAAGGAGCCTACCAGTTTAAGACCATCACTAATTACTGTACTGTTATCAGTAATTTGTAAAGCAAAAGTTCTATCCCAGTCGCTGAACCACTTTATATAAAACACAAGTTTTAGCAAATTGTAGGCATCCTCCCCTTCATCTTAATTGAAAGATTTACTTAATGCCCTTCCATCATCAGATCTTAAAGCACTTTATAAACAAAAGCAGTACCAGTGTCAGTTTACCAGCAGGAAAAGACACAAGGACTGATTTGCTCAAGATCTCATGAACAGTATCCATTAACCCTCCCTATACTTGAATAAACCGACATCATCATCATCTTCTACAGCCAGGGATACCAGTTTCCTTTTCCAACAGAAAAAAGAGACTAAAATCACTTCATATATATTATTTAATGTATGACCTTTAAAACAGTGATTAAGTTTTTGCTCCATTTTTTCTGCTGATGCAACTGTCTCAGTTCCCTACTCAAATGTAACATTTTTATGAGCACTTGCATGAAAAATATAAATATTACATTCCCAACTTATACAAATATACAGCAAACATCTTCTTGCTAAAAACTATCCTGCAAACGTACCTCTCCTTACGTTCTCAACTTGCCTCATAAAGGGAGGCTCAGAAAGTCTGCAGACTGCACAGAAATTAGTATTTGCAGGCTAGGTGAAGAAAAAGCCCATCAGAGCATATTTATAGGAAGAATGACCGAAAACCATGGCCTGCGCTGTGCAGCAAGAGCCTCCACACAGGTAACGTGCTGACCTCCTGATGGGCAATACCCTGCCCTTGCACAATGCCGCAGTTCCCAAATTTCCTCCAGCGCCTGGCTCTACAATGCCTGTAGGAATGCTCTTAGTACCTGAGGTTTATGTTGGATAACCCAGGGGTTGTGCTGGAGGTGGGTTAGGACACGGTGAGCAGAGAGAAGGCAGTGGGAAGAACAGAGAGTGGAGAATCCATGAGGCAAATGCCCTGGGACAGAAAAAGCGGCATGTACGATTGGACAGTGAAAAACATGGGGATTAATGCATAAGGTTGCAAGCAAAGAGTTTAGGAGAAAATCCAAAAATAGACAAGAAAACAAGAAGCCATCTTACAGGCAAGGTGATAAAGCACAGCACTGGTGGACACAGATGTAACGTACCCACGCCTCTCCACACTTCTCCTTTCATGTAACCCAAAAACGTGCCCTGCCGCCTGCACGGCCTTGCAGGGGACGCGTACCTCCGTTAGGTCAGCGACCACACAGCGTCTCCTGGACACCTCAAACTTCCACCTGAAACTCTCCCCTTTAACCTTGGCTTTCAAATCGCCAGCTTCGATACCGACAGGGTATTAACGATCGACAACTCTGCCTCTCAACAGCTAACGCAGGGGTGAACGGGCGAAGGCCTGTAACCCACCGGCGCTCCAGCCCGCGAGCTCGAGCATCTCCTACCAAGCGACCGCCATGAAACCCACAGCGC